GGAATAGTCTCATGCACTGATAAAATAGTCTCATGCACTGATAAAATAGTCTCATGCACTGATAAAATAGTCTCATGCACTGATAAAATAGTCTCATGCACTGATAAAATAGTCTCATGCACTGATAAATTAGTCTCGAGAATACTCCACCAGTGCATGAGAATATTTTATCAGTGCATGAGACTATTTTATCAGTGTGCACTGATAAAATAGTCTCATGCACTCAGGTAAAGCTCAGAAACAAATGAATTATTGTGGCTCGATGGATTGTTAGTAAATCTAAATCTCATTCTCATAACTTCAGTTGCATTAAATCAAAACAAACTGCAGAAATTTCAGAAGTTGTAGGAAGTTGGATTTTCAACCCCTGTAAACCCAAGAATTTTAGTATATTTTTAGAAATATAAACTAGTTGAACATTTAAAAAATCCTAAAATACAAACAACAAATTCAAACTTTATTAAGTTTAAATTTTAATTTAGGACAAAACTGACATCTATGTTTTGCTTTAACAATAAAATGATCCAGATCTTTATATATAATAGTTTCAAACATGTTTGAGTCGAACAGAAAAAAATGTAAAAACTAACCAACAGAAATGATTGCTTTTTATAAAAAATCATTTAAAAACAATAAAAATGATTTAAATACTTTGAATCCTTACATTAAGTTTTTTTCCAACATGTTTTTTCTGATTGTTTTAGTTGACAAAACATTTGTTAAAATGTGGAAATCAGGCTGAAAAATCAAACATTTAGTTTATAAAATGACAGGTTTGGTTTCAGAAACATCTTTTGTGAAAGCGTTCTGCTGGTGATGCGTTCTGATTGGATCAGAGGATTATGCTGCGTTTTAGTTGTATTCTGAGGTCGGAATTTCAGACTTCCTAGTTGGAAATATCAAGTGGAACACCCACTAATGTTGTAATTTTGAGTGTGGAACTCGGTGCAACACAATCATACCTGAGCATGTGTGATGTCATCAGTTCAACATGGCTGCTCCTCTAAGCAGCAAAGGGAAACTCTTCTGGTTTTGTCCAGTTTTGTGTTGTTTACCTTGCATTAAGTCAGTCATACATGTAGTACGTAGAGCACTGTTGTGTTATTGTTGCATTATTCCATCAAAGCAAGAAATAAAAACTCTTTTTTCAATGTTCTGACAAGGTGGAACCTAGAAGCCTTTCAGCTCAGAACTGACATCAGTCTGACGTCACAGTGTTGAGGAACGCAGCGTTAGGAGAGCTGGTAGATGTTCTTCCTGGTCAGTTCCACCCCCTCGCCATCTTCATTGTTGTCATGGTGATCTGTGAGCAGGACAGGAAATAAAATCACAAAACGTCCACGTGTTTATGGTGAAGGAAGTGATTTAATATTCTCACAAGTTACAAACTGATTTTCACATCCTTCAGTGAAGTAAAAACAGGTGCAGCTCAACAATTAGAAGAAATGTCTCATTTAAGACCTGAGTTGTCCATAAACACCTTTCTGTCGGTACGTTGAGTGAGTGCAAACCAACTCTAACCTCCTTCTTCTTTTGTTTTGAACATTTCACCTCGGACCTCCTCGTTTTCTTCTTCTATGCTCTCATCAATGTTTTCATATGTCACCTGAGGGAAAACAATAACTGATAAAGTTTCAGTTTGTCAGACAAAACTGAGGACAAGAAGTGTTTCTTTACCTGCTCATTGTGATGGGACAGTATGTCGTTGGTGGAGGGGAGGAGCCTGTTGATGAGCTGACCAATCGTTTTGAAAGTCGGCCTGTGGGTGGGCTCCAAACTCCAACAGAGCCTCATCAGGTGATACCTGAGTGCACAGGTAAGTATCATCTCAAGAAAACTTTGATTAACAGCAACATAAACATGTTCCTGCTCACATTTCATTTGGAGAAAAGTCTGGCTGATCCATGTGGTGTCCATCTTTGATCATCTTGTAGAAGTTTGTATCCACAGCAACGTTGGGGTATGGACTCTTACCTGAGCCAATGAGCAGAGAGAGAGAGGCTCAGTCTGTGTTGTCAGGCAGGTTTTCAGCTGAAGTCCTGTTGAACTAAATTCAGCTTGTTGAATCTGGTCATGTTTGGTGTTTCCACACTTACCAAGAGAGAAGATCTCCCACAGCAGGACTCCATAGGACCAGACGTCACTCTGGACGGTGTAGACACACTGGAAGATGCTTTCAGGAGCCATCCACTTCACTGGCAGGCGGGCCTTTCAAAATAAGATACAGACTCAAAATACACAGGAAGTGTCAAAAACAAACAGTCACAGAAGAGAAGCCCAAACAAGTTTTAGGGTCTTTATGTAGAACTCGAGTGTCTTCTGTGGTGCGTTTTGTTGATTCACTGACATTTCCTTGAACGATGTAGCTGTCRTCATTTCGAATGTCCCGAGCCAAACCAAAATCACAGATCTTTGCAACACGACGATCCGTCAGCAACACGTTCCTCGCTGCCACGTCTCTGTGGATGCACTAAGCAACAGACAGGGATGGATCATTGTCAGTGACCAGTATAGTCCACATTCTTCAGACACCTCTGGAACAGACCCATGAGCCCTTAAACCTGGTTTAGGACTCCGGTAAAAAGGCAACTCTAAGACTTTGTCCTCACAAAGCATGTAGATGTGTGTCCTCGCAGAATGTCAATTGTTTGCTCTGAGTCTCTTGTTTTTCTTATGTTTTGTTTTTAAATTGAGTTTTTTAAATCCAACTTTAAAGCTCTTTTATGCTCTATGTTTAYATTTAATGATAAGACTAAAAGGTACGAATAATCAAAGTTTGGCCTTCCTTCAACATGGAGATGTTTGCTGAAGCTGTTGGACTATCTTGGTGGAGGCTCAGACCATCTTCCCTACTTCCTAGTCTGAGGTCTGCTCCATCCATCGTGCTTAATGGGCCAAGGCCTGATCCATTTGCTGAGCCTGCTCTGCAGCCGGGGGTTTGCTCTGTCTGCACTGCCACACAGACTGAGGTTTGGTTCTTCTGTCCTGCTCTGCAGCCCAACCCTCTGGTTCTGCTGCCTGTGTCATCAAGCTACTCTTCACCAACCTATCAGCAGTTAGTCTCCATTCTGCTCTGCAGTAGGTGGCCTTCTCCAGCCTTTGAGCAGCTCGCTCCCATTAGCCTGTGGCTGCAAGCTTCATTCTGCCACTGTCTTCATCAGACATCATCTCTAGGCCACTGTCTTCATCAGACATCATCTCTAGGCCACTGTCTTCATCAGACATCATCTCTAGGCC